ATCGTTGAGAGAGCTAGTAGTCCCAGCGTGCTCGCTATGTACATTGCAGGTAAACGGTAATAGTAGGTAGGGGGTCTTGATAACGAGAGCGGATCCAAGCCTATCGGCTATTAGTAGCGTTGAGTCTGCAACGACAATCTGACTGGCAACCTTGTTTGTCACTCTACCAGCGGAAAGTTACCATAGCCAAGGGTTGGTACTCCGAGATACTAGGTCCTAGAAGATTCATGGTATAAGCTAACAGACCTTGGTCATCAACTCAGTTCAAACCCAGCACTGAACGCTTCACAGCACGGTCACTAAACCATATGAGAAAACCCTTCTTCCCTCTTCTCGTGCTCCAGTATCGGCTCAGACTGATTCCACATAAGACTTGAATTTGAAGCCTCGGATCCGAAGGTTGCGACACTAGGGGTAGAGCATAACATCAGGAGTATAACATCAGGAGAGTATAAGCTTGTGACTCGTTCAGCTTGGCGCGTCTTAGTGGTATGAAAGTTGGGTTCAGTGTGAACTAAAATAAGGCATACCCGGACTATCCAAAGTTATTGCCTCTAATAGACACGAAAATTCAACCGAGGCACCAGGGTACTAAAAGAACGGCCAGAGATGTTGTGCTCCAGGGGCTTTCTTACGCGACCAGTTGGTCTATTACGGTCAAGCCGAGGTTGCAGTTCCTCCAGAGAGCAAGCTTTTTGACACCAGAGACCATGGCGTGGGACGATGGAGCAGGTCTGTATTTTCGCTCATCTGATAAATATAGAACCCTAATGAAATGTATCTTGACAACTATAATAGATGAAAAACCAGAGTGACACGGACAGGAATTCTTGATAATCCTTCCGATGTCTGTTTCCTTATCAGCCATGTCACGTTTGCTTTTGAAAGGCCCAAAAAGCCCCGGCGTATATACAACGTGAAGTAGGCGCTTGCTTGGGCGACTCGCACACCCCTAACTGGCAAATGAGTTCCACGACTGGAAGATGTACAGAGGCTTCATCGAAAGGATGAAACAAAACTTAATGCACAGTTTTCGTAATTATAATTAACCATTCGTTGTTTTATTTTCAATGGTGATTCTTACCTGCATCTACCAAGAGTCAGGAGCAAAGATAATGCAACTCAAAACATCAGGAATCCAGATGAGAGTATCTTGATTTGCACACTAGAGACCATATTATTGTTCAAATGTGAAACGCACTGGACACGGGTTCATTAGATTCCAGTTCCTGGTGACATTGGCTGACAAAATGCTCGTGCCTTGGTAGCAGCACAGTAAGAAAAGCACTCATTTTGCAACTTGCATGGTCTTACTGAGGATTTTATTAATAATTAACGAGTCCGAGATCTGCGCACGGGCGGCTGACTTGTTCATGATGTGTCTTTGGTCAGGCATGCAAGTTCCGCAGCTGCCACCCCAGGCACCAGTGCGTCTCAGGATAGTCTGGAATTTCTTGGAATGGTCACTGTCATTCACCAAACTCAATGAATATGCATATAGCTACATTTTACACTTTTTACGTAAGAGAAACATTGAGCTGTGCTGCCTTTCAGTGTGATATGTGCGTTATGGCCATAAAAGGGGCTCAGACGATATAGATTCTTATTCGGACATCATACGCAGAGAATCTTATATGCTTGTGCAAAGGCTCGATAACAGCAAATACATCCTCATGTACCACGTGGTTATCTTGATGTTTGTTCAGTTTCGATTCGTGACGCTCTAAGGGTTATCCTCTGAAATTCTCTTTGATCTGTTGCAATCCCGTTCAACGGGGCTTTTGATGAGAGACATCCCCTAGCCCCCAAGCAGCTTGTCGTCGGAACGATCCGGATCAGTTAACTCCTGATACACTCTTGATATTTTGGATGCTTTCAAATATGTCATCGTCTTTATGAAACGAAACAACCCTAGGACGCTCGGTCGAGAACGAGGCCATGAAAGGGGGTAAGGCTAGCCGCTTCCGAAACTGTGAAACGTTTTTACTTTCCATCCATCCGAAACCGAGGAACTAGAACGGTCAAAGAGCACATGCGCTCCAGAATGCAGTTGAGCCTGTCACTCAATGACAGCGTGCACGGTTCTCTCTGAAAGCATTAACTGGCCCGACGACATAGAAGCACGTCTCGAGTCGTTTGCCTCGATGACGTTTTTTTGCCGGGGCCACAAATCGCGCAACGAACAACATAGCATAACAACTGAAATCGTCAATGCGCGATGTAATTCTCAACAACACCGAATGAAATGTACAGGTGACAATGGGTTGTACTGTGTAGATGCACTCGGAGCTGGGACACTAGCTCCGCATTATGCACTGCCGTGCTCGGACACTAGTGCTCAAGCCAGCGGGTATCCCCCTTCCCGTCATGTCAAGGCACGCTTGAGACTAGCAGGCTTGTTGTCTTTGGATGGATTCAGTCTTGATGATTCACATCACATGACTTGAGAAACACTCGCCCCTCAATACGGTCTGTGTCTGAGCCCTCTGAATTAATACCTACCAGCCCCTCGCATGAATCCCAAGCAAATACAACTTTTAGAGCTTGTTGGAGCCAGTGATAGGACTTTATCTCTATGTTTCTCGTGTCTGAAATCCACTCCAAGTTTCAATCTATCTCTGCCATCTATTTACATTCACAACTTAATCGTACTATCCAGCGTTACAATTACAGCATATTGGAACCATGGTATATACAGGAAAAGCATCCAGTGGCTGCAAGCTGTGTAGAATACGGAAGGTGAAGTGTGACGAGGCCAAGCCGTTCTGCATGAGATGTACCAAGTCGAAAAGACACTGCCCAGGATACGGGTCTGTTGGTCGAGACCAGGCGAAGACGTCTGCAGAAAGGCTCAAGAGATTGAGACAAACCACCTCATATAATACCCCTCACTCGACAGATCTTTCGATATCGCCTGAGTCCAGATCATCCGGAGATTATTTCGACAACACACTATCGGGTCCCCGGAGGCGAAATTCGGCACCATTCAGGATCGGCGATCAGGAAGGCGACTTGGCCGAATGCTTCAAAAATGTCCCTGGTGGTCTGATGAATCCACTCGACGAGCAGGCTTCCTGTCTGTTTCTGTCCCAATTCGTCAATGTGGCTATGACATCAACGGCGCGAGGCTACTACAGTTTTCTGCCTCGCTATTTTGGACGTGGGGATATTTCTGTATGTCTCTCGCTGTCGTTCAAGGCAACATCTATGGCATGCCTGGCGATGCAGCAGGCCAAAGGCATGAGAGGACCCGCTCTAGTACGGGCCCAGGAACATCACGTCAATGCTCTGAAAGCAGTGAGGCAAGCAATCGCAGACCCGATAGAGGTGGAAAACGACCAAACACTCGGCGCAGTTCTTATGCTCGCTTTTTACGAGGTGAGCATCGCATTATTGGCAGTGCTTGAACTCCATAGGCTAACACCAGCAGACCTTGATGTCCAAGGATTCGATGAAAGAATACATGAGCCATGTTAATGGCGCTGCCAAAATAATTCGAATGCGCGGCCAAAAGTGCCTTGAGACAGACGAGGGCCGGGAAATGTTCGCCTTGACCCGCAATCAGTGCATCCTGATACAGAATCTATTCAAAGGAACGGAGATGTCTGAGTATTCATGGCTGTTGCACAACGAAACAAGTCAACGCGTAAATCGCGAGACAGCCGACATGAACATTTATTACACCCGGCTCCAGCAATGCGTCGACTCCCTTATAGCCAAAGCACGTCATCCAGGACCTGAGGCTATCGATGAGATGGTTGAATTACTAGGCAAATGCCGAAAACTAGAGAACGAATTCCGCCAGCTCAAAGACAACATAAATCCACTGGGGAAAGTCGAGGTTGCAGAATGGGTGTTCGAGCGAACAGACGAGGAGCTCGACACGGAGCCAACATTCGAAGGCCCCGTCTACAAATTCTACAATCTCCCTGTCGCCGTCCTCCATATAATTTCGTGGTGTTTCCACCTAAACCTCATTTCGACCATTATGCGCTGCAGCTCATGGCTGGCTTCGGCTGGAAAGGAGGAATTGGGGGTGCTGGATGATTACGAAACACTCGTTCAATTGTCGACTGACTGTGTCCACGACATTGTCTCTGGGGTCCCATACTTTTGCAATTGGAACGCATATGGCGTCGTCGTCTCGCAGTTTCCTTGCGGCTTAACCAAGCCAGATGACCCACTCAAAGGAGAGGCTGGGCTCATCGTGATGTGGCCCATTGCCATAGCAATTAAGAGCGATTACGCTACGCCAAGGCAGAGACGATATTTAAGGGGTCGCCTTCGTTATATCGCCGACGTATCTGGTATCAATCAGGCTCGTTATTTTATTAACGAGGTGTAAGGGGATCCATTTTTCTTCAAGTTACGAGTTTGTACATTAGCAGCCTTCACTTTTTGTACATGCTGGAAGGGAGCCTGATTTGAGCGTGGTCTCTCGACGCTGTTTTTGTTTTGAAATATCAAGAAGCCGCGGTTATAAGAAAACATGCCTTACCAGAAACAGTGACCAGACGACCTTGCATTTAGGGATATTCAAATGGACAACAGGTTTGTTACGGACACGATGAGTAGCGTATTTGCCATAAAGACCAAAAGACCGAAAGCAGTTATGTGCTTACCAATTGTCTTTGCCAATGCTCTGCCCTATCTAACTTGTTCTACGATTTCAACTGTTTGCTTATGATTCCAAGATTTTGGATCTACACCTGGATGTATTTATGGCAATGAATAGACGAGAAGGCAATAATGAATGGCCCAAGTGGACATGCCGTCTAATAATTATAGGGCTTTAGGGGTGGAGATGAGCATGAGCTCAAGGGTTTAGGGTGAACCATGGCCCTAGTACCATACTATACATCGTATTCTTTTGAATAGAAATGCCGTTAGTAAGCAAGTTGTTGTCATCCAAACGAGCAGCAACACTACGCCAGGATGCTACGTTAACCAAATGTCACGCAAAAGACGACGCCGTTAGGTACGTGGGCAGTAATAGTAGCTTATATATCGTGACACCAAAAAGTCCATGAATAAGACTACCTGCGGCTTAAACACCAAAAGTCGATTTTCTCGTCATACAACATCTGTAAGTAATGTTGTTTTCTGCTATTCCAGCAACAGATACCACTTAGGGCATAGGCAGCTGGTTTGAAGATACCAGGCAAATGGAAATGAGAAATTGAGAAAGCCACAGGATGTTGCGAAGGAGACTTCTCATACCGCTGAGGCTGATACGAAAAGGCGATTACGAAGTTCTATATCTAGCCACTGTCGTCGTACGTGTAGCATTCACACCATCATATAGATGATGTCTTTCCGAGGACCCTGCTGGGAATAGTGGCCGAACTTGCACACTTCTCCCTTGTTTCAATCCATTCTTGGATAACCTTTCTTGGGCGTTAGCCTGTTTCGTCTTCGATCGGTCGCCTCTACCGGTTTCATCCCGCCACTTTTGTTCTTTTCGATCGTTTCGAGCATAATTATAATATCCAAGCGTTGGAGTTATTTAAGATTCATATTTGCAGGTCTTCCTGTATTCGGGGCTCTGGCAGTATCAAACTGCAGATTGGACGAAGGGTCCAAGCACATTAATATCCGCGGATTCCGCAACGATCACTGTCAGATTCTAAGTTCCCGTTTGAATATACATTTGTAGTAGGTATTAAACATTACATGCGCTATCAAAGGGTGAAGATTAAACGCCAGTGTTTCTACAAGCTTTATTTCATGTCACTTCGTTGTTTGCCAACTTGAAAGTCCTATCGCCTGTTCTCTACAGAAACATTTGGAAAATGCACAATCTAGTTCAAGTACCCTTGGAAGCCAGACCTTGGCCAGCAAATCAGATAACACAGATTGAATTATGGCCCATGGGCGACGAAAGCTTTGTGTCTTGAATAGTCTTGGCCTGTGATGCCAAGATCGTATCGGCATGCTACCAGCCAAAGGATGGGACGACGAGCTCACTTAACCTGGCGGGAGAGTGGCTGGGCTCAGACATTCCTGTACTCAGATAATCTTCACACAACCACGCTATATCTGACGACCCTCATTTCTGAGAGATTGCAAGTAGTAGTGGACATCTTATCACGTAACCAAAAACGACGCCGTTAGTTACGGGGCCAGTAACTGACGCTTATATATCTCGTGACACATCTCCTTAGTCTGGGGAAGTTGAACAATACTGACGGGATCCCAAACGATAGTCCCGGCCTGAACCGTTTGATCTAGATAAAAGTGCTCGTATGTTATTTGAGATTATCGCCAATAAGGAAAGGCCAATTGGCGCAGACGATGAAGGGGTCGAACCGCTGAGAAGCACGATGTGATCCCCTAGAGAGTTTTCAACAAAAGGTTTGGACCTATCTATATCATGCGACCCCATCTAGAAACACGCTTAGTACATGGTAGATGCTGTGACGTTCATAAGAAAAGTGGCAATTATTTGTGAATTATTGATGAGTGGGCATGGTTTCTGGTGAAACGTACCATCAAGAAAGTAACGAGGACCTGATGAAGATCTCTCAAATTGCCAGACATATCTATGCATATTAAAAAATCACGAAATATGCCTGCACAGCATGGTTACCAAAAGAGAATGTTCATGGAACGACACCAAGTCCCAATGCCTATGTCCCTGAATGGCATACTTAGTATTGAAAGTACCGAGCAACCTGAAGAAAAAGGTCTTCGAAGTTGTGAAAGACTCCGGTATTGAATTGATGGTTAAAAGTCTAAACAATCCGATCCGCCTCTATTCAGACTATCCTGAAAGTTTGCAGGCTCAAGATCAATCGAAAACGACATTTTCCACCATTGTCTCTATATCTCAACATTTTGGGTCAGCTGCTGCTGTTTCCCACTATGTATACTTCTAATGGAATTGGAGGGTATCAAGTGTGAAGGAACGCTTCTAATATGCAACATGAGTCGTGTGAGGCGACTGCAGTATTAAAACCAAAACTTTTGGATGGCCGTTTCGTCCAATGTGTTGCGCTCTGGGCTCGAAAAGGCAAGTGCGGTAGTAGTTAGATGGCTGCGGCGTGCGTAGCAACGTCAGGTGTAGAGAGCCGAACCGTTATGCTCAGCAGCGGGTTTGCAATGCTTGGTGTCCCGCACCGTTATCTTGTGCTCGTGTGTTAGAAACATATGGAGGCTAACGTCGGCATCTTTGAGGTGTGCTCTGAACTCAGGAGAGCTCGGTGGCGGACCGCCTACAAAGCAAAGGGAGGGTCAGCTTTATGTCATAGATCTGCTCTATCTTTTATTTTTGTCGGTTCTTACCTATTATCGTACGCGGAGCCTGAGCATCTACCGGCGGTTAATCCAATAGATAAATCCACCCACTCCGAAAATGGCCGTCCCCACTGCGAAGCACATATTAGCGGAAACCGAACTTAATGAACTGCGTAGCTGGCACGACCAAACTTACCGACAGCCAGCGTCTCCAACACGGTATGGTCAACGCTTCTCCTCATCAACTGGTGGCCAACCTCCATCACTCCCCCCTGGATAAGCCGCGTATCGATAACAGGCATGATTAAGGATGATGTAGGACGAGTGCACCAAATGGCGATTGTGAAAGAACGAAGTGAAAAAAGGACAGAGACGTTCTACGATCACCGGGATCAACAGTCAAGACGCTGGGCCAGAAGGAGTACCTTAAACAAAGTGTGGTTCTGAGTGCCGTATATCAAGAAAATTCGACTGGGCCAGTGGGGTCTCGCCATCCCGCATTGCATTACGAGCGGGTGTGACGACGGGGTAAGGGGGCCAAGGGATTCGAAGCGCGCGTCTGGGTCCGTATGGCCATCTTGCATACACGTGGGCTTGGGAATCGGATCATGCCATCTCATTTCGGTTTCAAAAGGGGGGAAGGGGAGGTAACGACGAATTGCGTTACCAAGCCTCAGAGAGATGGTCCAAATAAGTAAGGTGGTGTCGGGGGGCCACCCTCAGACGGGCTGGGCCGAGCTGGGAGTCCACTGTCTGTCTGTATCTGGCATAAGATATAATATGCGAATTTCTACTCTGATTTGCGGATCTGCGAACCATCGCTGACCAATCCGAGACGACCGACTCCGACAAGCTGGGCGAGACTGCTGTCATTCAACGCCTGTCGAGACACGCTTTCTCTGAGTGCGTGCCCTTTGCGTCCTCGGGTCGCGCGGGCCGCGTCTTTGGGGGTTCGAAGCGAATAACACCGCCTGAATGCCGTGGTTCTGCGACTTGTTTGGTGATTCGAGCTTGGAGTGAGTCCATTCTGAGGCGACTTCGCTGCGGGTCATGGTTTCAGTCTCCTGAAACAAGGAGGGAGGTCGCACAGCCCCCCTGCCTCATGAGGGACGTAACGCCGGCTCCCCTGCGTAGTCCGTCCAGCAGCGAGAGCAAATCCATTAGACGATAGGATCTTACCATCCCAAGTTGGCCTGTAGTCCCTGCCGTCCATCATATACCTCCCTTGCAACTGAAGCCGAGACGGCCTGCATTCAAGCCGCGTTGTATGGTACGCCAGATTACCGGTCTTGGCCCTGGACGGAGATGATTGCTTATGACAAAACCCGAGGATGCGACAGCTTCGCGTTCATGGAAAAGCTTCATCTTGAGGCCAAGACTCGAACTTGCACCTGTTAGGTGTGGTTCCACGTCGATGCCCAGGCTCTTGGCCTTTAAGATTGTCCGGTCCGCCTAGGCTGACACAGCAATTGAGCAGATGTCGCGACACCGCCGAGTTCTCTAGAGATCTCTTCGGTTAAGGGATTCTTCCCAGCTACACACATCACTAAAAGTTTCTGCTGACAATGCTTTATGATATCTCCGGCGACGATCCGGGCTGTGTCTTCAATTCCAGCACCCCACGCCAGCATCCCCTCCCGGCCCCGGCCCCGGTCCCACCCCCACTGTTCCGGATACCCAAGCTCGAATTACCAAAGTATCGTTAAGACTGGCATGCAGACGCAAATGACGCTGTATCTGATTGGACGGTTGATGGCAAGAAGGACACATCACCTGTTTGCAAGATCCCTCAATCTCACGACGAGGGGCAGGGTAGATGTGACCTGCCGAAGGTCGCATTGCGCATCAACTCCGAGTGAGGCTGGCCTTGAATAGTCCGGATCCTTTGACTGCATCCTAGGCCTTGTCGGAACAAGCCTTGTTCGGCACAACGGCCAAGACTATCTGTCTTCTCATTCGGCCAATTATTCGTCCGCCAGAAAGTCGGGGGATCGATATCTTGTGAATCATGCAGTGCGTCCTGAGGCTGACGCAAGTCGTTTCATGAGCCTGCGCATCCGTAACTGCTCTATAGACGATATGGCGCCATACGAGCCAGAACTAATATACCACAATCTCTGCTTTCGGGAAACATGGACACATATAGACGGCCATTACATATGGAGAACGAAACCAAAACAGGCACAGCCCGTTATGGGCCTGACAGCATCTGTCGCGATGGCGGGAATCGCCGGCAATCGTTGATGGTGGGGCTTGTCTCCGATACGGCCCCCTAATACCACCCACGTTATCCACTTAGGCAGTGGATATCCCCATCAACAAGGCCACCCGCGATAGCTTCATTTCTCCCTTTCGGGTAATTGAAAACAGCCACCATAACCCAACTGTTTGTCACCCTTTCGACCTAAGACAATACCCCTGTAATACCAGCAGTATCATTGACTCAAGCATTCTCAAGTGCGTTTTGGGATGAATGCCACCATACTAGGCTGCGAATAGACACGAGCCCCTTAGGCATAATCAGCACCACAAGCTGCATGAAATTCAAGCCTTTGAAGAATTGCATGTCTACTTCGTTGGCATTTCTTTGCCAACTAGAAAAAATCATTCAAGGCATTCACAGAAGTCGACGACAAAGTGGATCCTCTTAGAGCAACACGATTAACTCGTAGATCCAAGCCTGTAGAATGAAAGGGCCTTCTTGGTCAACAAGCCATCGTGTTTCAATTGTTCAAACTTCTTTCCCCATGTTACCAACCCCACCAAGATCCAAAATCTCCATTAAGCCACAGCTATTGAGGTTCTATCGTAATACGAGTGGGGAACTTAGTAGCCTCTTATGCAGCAGCAGTCAGAAGAGAATTTACGAAGCTTGTTAAAAAGCAGATCAGTTATAAACCCGCTGTCACGAGTATAGCTTCATAAGCCTCATTTAGGTAGGTAGCCTCAATACCGTAGACACGTGTATGTTCACTCATCACGCGAGATAGCCAATCTTCTTGAGGATGAAGTCCTCGAGGAGGTCAGCTTTAATATACTATCTACGCATCTACATATCTTTGCTTATGTTATTGTTCACCTCCTGTTTCATTGCTTTCGTTACGCACGCGTTGCTTGATTATTTTACTCTTTCACTTGCGTCTCCTCACTTCACTGCCTTGGTATTGCTCAGCAGCTCCTATAGCCTTTTTGCCCTGTTGGATCTGGAACGACTGCGAGGAGGGTTGTGTGATATAGAGCTTTAGCATTATTATCTTTGTACGTATATTGGACACACCATTGCGAGAGTACTAAGACATCTTATATTCTACTATAGATTGTATTTCAAGGATTAATTGGCCAATAGATCAACGCTCATCGAAACCCATATACATACATGTATCAATCTGGGCGTGTGACCCCCATTGGTCGCCATAATCCGAGGCGAAGGTGAAGGGAATAACCAATCCGCCAACCACGCGCTCCGTATACCAATGACCAATCTTGACTACTGTGCAATCACTTTCAAAGATAATGGCCCAAACCTGCGTCCGGACTACATGTGTAGCCATCATTAACGTCGTCGAGGTAGAAAACGCAATTGTCTGACGGCCAATCATCGACATCGGTGCAAACGATCATACCACAACACCGCCGAATTGGTATCCTCGCACCACGGAGTGATACTGAAGCCCAATTTATCAGGACCGTGGACTTTTACGCGGTAGAGGAAGTCTTAAAGTTTGCCTATGATTAGCCCATGGCGATGCCAGAAGAGAAGATCAAGCGAGTGATGATGATGGGGCTTAACATGAATGGCCAGAACGAGAGGGTACCAAGAATGGCGGCGGAGGATAATCTGTGTAATCACTCTGCTGGAACATGATATAAGAATAGATAATGGGTGAAGACGGCTCGATTTGGTGAGGGCCAGGATATAGGTTATTGACAGATGTGATATATAACACCGACAGAGAATACCGCAAGAACAAAAAAGCCGCTGGCGGACTCAAAGACTGAAAGCACGACGCCGGCCGGAGCTGAAACTTGAAAGTCAAGTTTCACTTACAGATTTTAATAATGGCCAACAATCCTATCGGAGAAGTTAAGGATAACACATGTCGGAAGAGTTGATGAATGACTGCCCAGACACTATGGAGCTAAAATCATTTCCCGACTAATTGAGGCGATACGACAGCAGATGTATGGACCCAGACTACGAAGATTGAAAGGACTAGCCGCACAAATCAGCTTCGTGGAATGGTGAAGTCAGCGCTGTCATTGTCGAAAATAGAAAGAAATAAGAAGGTCCAACGTTTAGAGACATGAGCATGCCGTGTGCTTCCCCAGCGCGGCGTAGTGCTTACTCAGCGCGTGCAGCCAAGACGAGACTGCCGACATCCGCTGGCCAATGCGACCATATTGCTTGGCATCACAAAGACAGTGAACATCTGATCAGGTACATTGCTCCATATTTTTGAGTCTTCTCGTACTGATTCCCCGCTGCATCATTCCCGATTAGGCAAATGTATGTAGTCGGGTTTTGGAGAGGGCACAGCGGGACGGCATGCGCTTAGCCTCTTGGCTGTTCCTGGCCCAGACGTCCCATAGGAAGATCTTCTACAGAAACAACCAATCTACGCGCAGCAGCTTTAACACTTTGTCCACGGGATTTCTCTCTCTGCTTGCAAGGGACTTGCAATCAACTTGCAAGGGGCACTTGTCCTGTCTCGGCTCTTGCTTTAAGATCAGCTCTAGTCCTAGAATGGTGAAAAGAGAGCATTTATCCCAGAGTGGAACGGTGATCAACTGCATGTTGAATGTTTTTGAAATCGCTGGGCTGCTTTTCAGTCTTGCATGTGGTTGTCAAATCGTTTGGTGAAGCCATATGTCCGCCAAATCATATTGGCTGGACAAGTTCACGTTGTGCAACAATCTAGCGTCCTAGGATGGAATTGATGGATAGTCGAGGACAACCGTCGTCTCACATCAGCACTGTTACATAGGAACAATCAACGTACAAATAAGGCTCCTTCCTGTGAAACAAGGACGAACGACTGCGATAAGAAGCCGTGGCGCCAGCGATACCAGCGTGGCTCACGAGTATCACACCGAAATAGCCATGTTGCCATAACCGGGCGGTCCATATCTCTCCCCATCTCTTGTCTGAGTCCAGAATGGCTAAAGGCAATTTCAAATTCTTCTGTGCCATGCTTTGATTACATTCACCATTTAAGGCCTCAATGAGGCAGGCAAACTGTGTAGACCAACGCTCGTCGCTAAACATCCATCTGAGCCCCTACTTGTCTCTCACACAACTAATCACATGAGCAACACTGGTCAGAAATATCATCACCCGGGCCGCCCAATAGATGCTAGTTTGCCAATTCTTCCTTTTGTGGAACATCGCGAGACAAAATACGCCCGACAAGAGAATAGGCTGAGTTGATACCTAGGTTGAGGGTGTTAGTTTGATCGTTAACTAGGTAGGATCTTCTTCGATTGCCCTAGACAGCCAATCGGGGCCGTCTCGGCGCTTATGTGTTTACTCACTTCTGCAACTGGCCGAGCTGTAGCTAAGTGGCTAGGACACAGCTCTGCGAAAATGACAACATCCACCAACCGAACCGAGACATTCCAAAGTTGTCTATCTTGACACATGGAGCCAGTACTATCAGATCATGTTTTTCGACTCATAGTGATGTGTATTGTGCTTGCTCAGTTGATGATGAGCTGGGACACATACCAGGAAAGGACCCTACAGTCGAATATAAATATGCCTGTCTTCCTCTTAGGACCATCTGTCTTTTCCAACCAGCCTGCATCCGCATCTTCACCATCTCATTCAACAAACAGCCCCCTAAAGACACCAATAACTCCCCTCTTCAAAATGCTCATCTTTAACATCTTCACCACCGTCATCACGGGCTGCGCTATCATGGGCTCTACCGCCTCTGCCGCCGACTTCAAGATCAAGAAGAGCGGCAAATCCGACTGCTCCAGCCAAGAAGGCCCGGCGCGCGAGGTAAACAGGGGCACCTGCAACCCGCTGTACAGTACCGACCACGGCATGAGGGTTCTCGAGCACAACACCGCTTGCAAGAGTAAATACTCCCCGCAATGATCCTCTTGTGGAGTCATGGCTAACTTGGCCCGAACAGTTCGATGCTACCCGGGCGGAAACTGCGACGGCAACGTGGTTAGCGCCTTCAGCTCCCACCAGTGCCACTCGCTGAAGGGATGCTGGTCCTTCAGAGTTGAGTGCTAGAGCACACACTCACAAACAAGGCAAGCTGGTCGATTGTGTGACGGCCGGCATCGACGATCAGGGGTGAAAGCTTCAGGACGGGGGTGCGGTTTTTGATTCATCTGTCACTCTTTTAAGATTTATAAGCATTTGGATAGCCGACCAGATACATTCATTTAATATATGGTATCAATACATGAACATAATAAGTCAAAGTACCCACTTACTAACTACCCCCCTATTCCGACCACATGAATCATAATGCTATTACAACAACCACCACTTTATTAATTAACTATTAACTACCTCTTAAAGCCACAATAATGCAACTTTTAGCCTCACTAGGTAATTCTAATGCACTAGATTTATCTAGCTTACTTTTAGTATTACTAGCCTTAACCTAGGCTTACTACACCTCTTTAATAGTTATAAACTTTATGTTTAGATCTAGGGTAATAGCCTTCCTTTTTTTAGTAGTACTATTATTAACTTTGGCCTAGAGAAGCTATATTTAGTGCTTAGTAGTAGCTAACTTAAAGGCCTACTCTTTAAAGCCTTTTTTAACCTTTCTAAAGAGCTAGCGTTATATAGTAATATTTTATTCTAGTTAGCTAAATAAATATAGTTAATCTTTAAGGTCTTTAACCTTCTTTAGTATAGACTACTTAACTATAGATAAGGCAAATGCCTATTCCTTTATACCCTAGGCCTTATAGGCCTTTTTTACCTTCTAGTTAAGTAGTATTATGTTATAGTTAGTAATCTAACAGTAGGGTTTCTGCTAGGAATAAGCTGGGGTTAATACTTAGTTAATAGTAGTGTAGGCTTACTGGTCTATTGATTACTTAGTGATTAGTTAGGTAGTTAATAGTTATAAAGGTAGCTTATATAGCTCTTGTTAATTAAATTACTAAGGTTAGATACTAAAAGTTATTTAAATAAATTATATTATAAGAAGTTAATTACTAAAGAGCTATAAGAGTCTATCCTTAAGTGTGTCTAAGTCTATCTTATATATAAGTTTGTTCCTTTTGTTAGCAAGTAAGGCTATATATCTAGACTATAGTACCTATATGTTTTCTGTATAGCGCCTATATACTAAGTATATAGCTTCTGTATTTCTAATGTATAGATCTTATCTAATCTTATTATTATATAACTTATACTATAGTTCTTCTATGTCTATAGAAGTTATTCTGTCTACGCCTATCTGTTAGTTCTATATAAATACTATTACTGCCTATTAGTTGCTCTACTAAGTAGGGTAATATTACTTATAACTTGTTAAGTTATAATATTAGGTCTCCCCTCTTAAAGGTCTTGCCCTTAAGACCTATATAAGTAGGTTATGTCTCCTAGGTTAAGGAGTTATTAATTCTACTTCTTAATCTACTTATAATACTAACACTATATTAAGTTATATAGAAAAATTAGGATTAAAATTAGCACTTTGTTTAGTGT